CCTCCAATCAACCAGGGAGGTCCGAAGAAGGATGGCCCTCCCATCAACCAGGGAGGCCCGAAGAAAGACGGACCTCCAATCAACCAGGGAGGTCCGAAGAAAGACAGACATCAATGCGATCAACCTCCACTGGTTGCATGGAGGGTCTTCATGTTGGCGTTGGCACGAAGGCTAAGCTAAGCCCGGCTCGGCCTTTACACCGACCAACACCCAAGTGGCATTAACCTAGGTCACTATCCAAGCCCAGGTTTTGCTAACACTTTGCATTATGAAAATTTGAGGCTTTGCACAAATTTGGCAAAGCCTCAAACTGTTTAACAAATATTCATCATCATTTTAACTGTTTAACAAGTTCCTTATTCATCCATCATCTAACATACATAGGTATGTTAGATGATGGATGAATATTTGTTAAACAGTTGACAATAGAATACGAAACAGAGAATTTGTGAAAATTAATTTGGCTCTGCTCCTGTCCAGAAACAGCCAATCAGAGCCAAAAGGCAAACTTTTGGTTCTGATTGGTTTCTAATGTGTTGAATGTGTCTCAGTATATTCAACACATTAGACTGCTAGTGTACTGCAGCTAAGGAATTGGCAGAAAAACAACCTAACATTATATCATCATTATTTATAGAATGATTTAGAAAACAAAATGCTACATAGGCTTGTCAAAACTATTTTGACCCATATTAGGACTTAGCATTGATTTCCCTTCATTTTAGTAGCTGCGATTTTGCCTAACCCAGACATTTTCCCTAACCCAAACCATTACTAGTCTATTCCTAACATTAACTAAACCTTAATTCACATCTTATCTCTAAACATTACCCCTGACCCAAAGCAATGAATCCATCATATTAGGACAAGTCTTTGGTTCTAATATGGTGGATCTAATATGACACTGGACATATAGTGGTGCGTTCACATCAATCACATTTTGACCATCAGGGGCATCTGGTTTACATTCAAAGTCTATGTGGAGGCGCGTCGAGGGCCGTTGCAGTGCGTTTCGAGTGTCTAGCACGGCGCCATTTGAACCTTTTGGAGCTTTTGACGTGTCCAGCGCATCCAATACTTCACATAGACTTTGAATATAAAGCAGACTTGCCTGACGCTCAAAACGTGTTTGGTGTGAATGCACCATTAGAATGTTTAGTTCCTATGGTAACAATGACATGAGCAGTGATGACATCACTCTTTGATGCATCAAAGGAATCTCTCTCTTGAGTGTAGCACACAGACTGTTTTTTTTCCAGACCTGTTCCTTATAAGTTAACTTGTAGGTTCCTGTAACTTTTAAGTTATGAATCTTCTACAGGAGCATTAAAATTATTTGAAGGCACAGAATCAGCCCAGTAGGTTCACATTCTCAGGTGAGAGACTCACCTGGTGTAAAGTTAATTCTTTGGTACTGGAATTGCACCGAGGATAAATTATTTTAATCAAAACATGTCATGATTATATGTGCATATATTCCATCTTAAGTACATAGCATAATAGATTTTTTGTTGCTTTTGCCACCACTAAATGATATGCATATAAGATATAACATAAACGGCATTATTCAGAGATGCAATGAGTTTATAGCAGCGGCCCTGATGCCAACATGTCCAGAAAATGTATTAAAGATTGTGATTCTAACATGTGTTTCACACATCAGGGCTGGTGTCGGTGTAACAGATGCTGATTTTCCTGTAAAAAGTCTAGAACATGTAGGAGTAATGAGGCAGAAACAAATCTGTGCTTCACTAATCCTCCTGGAATCTGTTCTGGTTAAATAGTTAACATTTCCAAAAAGCATCATATCTGATCTTTCTTCAAAATAATCATTGTGTCCACATTATTGCTTTTGTCAATCTAGACAATATACTTATTCCTGTAATAAACAGTTTTAGATCCTTTAATACAAAGGTACAGCTTATGTCACACACTTAAGTCTCAGAATACCCCCCATCTGCTACGGCATAAAAAATATACAATATATTAGGGGTTTTTTTGTCCTGTACACCAGCAAGTTCACAGAAAGACACAATATAGCTAAACAGATTCGACTCATGTAACAAAAAAAACAATCTAAACATGTCAATATTACTTTCCAACAACTTCCAGAACCATTTTATTTCAAAGTTGATAACTGACGGTGTATTAAGCAATCTGTATATATAAACAGATAACAATTCACCTCCTGGACAGTAAGTTCATACCTCAGCTAACTAGAACCGCTCTCGCTCTTTTTAATCCCGTTAGTTCAGTTGCTATAACAACGGTAAATAAAACACAAAAGGAAAAGGATTAACGGTGTGTTCCGCCATGTCTGTAGTTCTAAAGAGCAGCTCAGGGGCAGACAAAAGTCTACATCTATTTTGAGTGGCACTGTTTTGTGTCAGACTTTTGTTTTGAGTGGAATTTGGCTCGTTTTGTGTTAATTGTGTCGTCACAGTTACTCGAAATGCCAACAAAAGCAATAGATCCGCTCACGGGATGAGCTGCATGTTTTGATATATACATATATATATATATATATATATATATATATATATATGTATTGTGAAGGGGGCACGCAGTGGTACGAGCCGCATTAACGGTACTAGGAAGACGCATAAGCACCATAAGCATAAGTTAGATTTCCTCTCTTTGATCTAAGCTAGTAATGTGCAAAAGTTCCTCCCCATTCAGATAAAACTGCAACGCAATTCCCAAAGTGGTGCAAGTCAGCTGCGAAAGGAACGAGAGTTCCTAGTGAATAACAATTCCTCTGCAGCAGCTTCCCCTCCAATTGACATGCTTTTTCTCTTTAGGCCCTATGGGTCATGTAAGACACAAACAACAAAAACAACCTGAATACAATAAAATAAAAGATGCTGTCAGAGGTGTGAAGACAGCATCCAGTTAAACGATCTTGTTTGGTTGGAGAAGCGTTCGATACGCAAGTTCTGGGGGTTTGGAATGCAAAAACGGGACGAAATGAACCGTACTTTCGGAAAACATGTGAAAATAAACCCCATGACTCCAAGAAAGACCTTACCATGAAGAGACTTTGAGAACATTGTTAAGCAAACTAATACAATGCGGTCAATGCTCACCCTTGGTCATAATTATAATAGTCCTGTGCGTAATAGTCTTGGCCTGGGTCAATGCCCGACTCCATGGAGAGTTCCTGTGTTTCAGAGAGGCAGACACAGAAATTACTCAGCATTCTTTAGCTAGAGAGCTGGGAGACAGGAGGAGCTCAGTAAAGAGTGAGTGTACAACAGAAGGAATGCACAGTTCCTATGAATTAGGGAAAGCAGGGGAGTTTCTACCTCTGGTCTCAGAAGAGATGGCCTCAGCAGTTGTTGTTGCTGCTGCTAAAGGTTAGTGCAGAGAAAGGGTAAGGCAATGAAAGTGAGGCATAGCCAGGAAAGAGACAAACGCATGATGAATTTCCAGTTTGTAATGAAAAGTCAGAAAGCCCTTTTCAATCTTTGTTTACACATAGGCTTATTTTATAAACCGCTGTGGATAAAGGTTAAAACACTAATAAAACAGAAAGGAATGAAAAAAAAATATTGTCACTAAGCAATGTGACAGGAAATTGGACAGAAATTAACAGCTTGACATTGGATACATTAAATCCCTTAAACAATAAAAATCAATCTACATTTTGAATCTTGATATATTGTCAGGTTTCTAATTAGCTTTTTCACAATAAAAGATGCTTTCCCATCTCTGTAGAAGATGTAAAAAAAAAAAACACATGTAAAAAATACTTATTGTTTAGCACAATTAAAATCTGGTACTTTAAATTAATTTATTCATGTTGTGTACAGTAACAACACCATCAAATGAATTGCATGCATGGAAATTGGGATACAATTCACCACCAGACACCATTAGAACAAAACTGCTTACCTTTCTGCCAGGGCCACGCCTCCTGGGCAGCACAGAAAAAATAAAAATAAAGTAAGACATCTGAGTATTGGGTGACAGCAAGATTTAAAGTTGCTTTTAAATATGAAATTCTAAGTCTACATCACTAGTGTATTTATTTTCTGCAGACCAGTAAGGAAGTTGCAGCTTTACTTACTGTGCATTTTCATCTGTTTAATGAGAGTTGCAGATATTGTTTTCAAAAGGTTGCAAAAGTTGTGATGCTGATAAAAGCAGTTTTTTTTCCCAACATCACTATCTCAATTAAAAAAAGAGAGAAAGAAAGATGCAGTGAATGCAAACATCAAAACAGAGGAGGATTGTAAAGGGAGACTCGGTGTTTAAATGGTCATGGTGGGGGACGCTGCTGGCAGACATAACAGAGACAACACAGTAAGACTGTTTGCGGTCAGAGTTATTAATTTTTTAGATTTATATCATGATACTACCAAAGGCAACAACAAAGCCTCTCTTGGACTCTTTCTTTATCACAAGTGTCACCTGTTAATTTTTCATGTTAACTTGAAGTGAGTAGCTCTTCAATAGTCTATCAGGCATAAAATAATAAACATTTCAATGCTGCTTTGGAGAACAACGGGCATCTGCAGTGGCATTAAATAAAAAGTCACAGAGAAATAGCGAGTAAACAAGTCGCTCCATTCAAACCTCCAGCTTGTCAGGGCAAATAAGTAATGATCACTCTCATGCTCTTGGATATATGGCCAAGCAATGATATGACATTCCTCAGGAGAGCTGTAATCTGTTGTTATGGGCAGGGACCATGGGGCAGGGACAGGGCACAGCCATATGCCACACCTCCCAGGCACAGCTGATGATGGGAATGGGATCTGATTGATGACCTGTTCGCTTGGCTGCTACCCGTTGCTGCTTCATGCTACATGAAGAAAAATAACCCAGTGAACAGCCTGAAGATGACTGCACACAAAAGAGACTTGGTGGAAGATGATAAAGAAGCACAAAGAGTTAAGAATATTGACCTAAGAGCCACGTTGAGACAATAAATTTGAAATGATTAGATTATATTCTACTGTAGAGTTCACAAATGAGAAAGTTAAGTCTCGTTAAGTTAGTTTCTTTATAAAAGTAAATAATTTAGCAAAATTAAGTAAGGTGCTCAATTAGATGGCAGTGGTTATATGCCATACCTCCCAGGCACAGCTGACTTACCTCTGGCTATATGAGTTTATTAGACGGACAAGTTTCAAATAACAGACCAGCAAAGATTAGAAAACCACAAATGATGTGGTAAAATCAAATGCCTTCTTAAACAATGGAATGGGCATGGTGTCATTTTGACTGTTTTGCAAAATGACGCCAGTGGCAAAGTGAGCCCCTCACTCCCCCCCGCCCCCCAAAATACCTGGTGGTTCCTGAATTTTCCTAAAAATTGTCAATTTGAATAGAAATAGAATACATGTAGTCTGCTAAGAACAAATGAAGGGTGCCAACAGGGAGATCAGCCTATTGGTGGTAGTGGAAAATAAAGGATGGGAGTGTGTGGACAGTTGTTGAGCCTGCTGAACATCCAGCAGGCTGCCACCTTTCCTCCCTCCCGGCTGGATGGAAGAGAGAAAAGGTGGCAGAGTCAAAATATCCACATGAAAGCTGCCTGGCCTACTACACCCTAGGCAAAGTGAAAAATCAATGGTTGCATTCGCAGCTTCCCTGTGCCCTCCCTGATGCTAAAGCACATCAGTGAGGGCTCTGTGGATGAGGTGCATCAAAATATTGTGACTGTTTTTTGTGTTAAATGATGTAAGGTTGGCCTTGAGTGCCAAGAAAGGCACATTGAAATAAAATGTATCAGTAGTATTACTAGTATTAACTTCATGGTGACAGCTCGTATATCCGAGGAACCCAGGGAACAAAACGTGGACAAGGACAGTCTTTGGTTGGAAAAGTACACCTTCCAGTTCTTTCAAAGAAATGTTATCCTGAAATAGATTGAGCTCATTAGATTTCTTCGTTTTGCTAAGAATAAAACCTGACGTGCATAAGTCTTGCAAGCATACTTGAACAGCTGTGTAGAGACAACTGGAACTCCGTCATCACCACCTCATCGCCGACGCGCTCATGCCATTCCCACAGGTGTCCACTAGGTGGCACATAAAGCAAACCTTTGACAGGGCTTTCAGTACCTTTCAGTACGGATACAGCAGCAAGTCTTAAGTGTTGCTGAAATCCTACCATCCAAACATGAGCTATGGTCACTACCTGTTCCATTGGGAAGGATTGGTGATGACTTCCTGTGGGCTTTGGAAAATGTCAAGTGTGGTTATGAATTGTTAGTGGACACAGTTTCAAGTTTATACCATACAAAGCAAAAAAGCTGGAGGAGTTACCAAAGAAATTTAACTTTGCTCCATGGGGTGGTGCTAAGGTGATGACATCAATCTACCACGCTAATGTGTTGTGCAATGGTAACTAATGATGCACCAAACAAATCTGGTGGAGATGTAGCTGTAAAGGTTTTATTCTGCAAAACACACCTTATCATAGCATGCCAATATTGGTTTTGTTGTCACACAAAACACAACTTCAATTGATCCTTTGCAATTCAGAATTCTGAAACTTTTTTTTAATGGATTTAAAAAAACTATACTTTTTTAGATCAGCTGAAAATAATCAATTATGGCCAAAAGGAATTAAAAAATGACAGAATGCCAAAACATACTATCCATTGTGATTTGCTCCACTTTCAGGTTGACAGAAACAGCATGTGAGCTGATAGCCTCTTTAAAAAAGAGATTACCCCATGTAGTGAACACGGAATACAGAATTAGCCAGGCTTTGATCTGCCCATCAGGGGTAATGTGATGAATCAAACATTACATTGGTCTGGATGTGAGGTATGCTAAGTCCATTTGCCTGGGGGCATCACAGATGAAACAAAAACACAAAAAGTAAGTGGGAGAAAATAAAAAAGCGGAGAAAGTAAAGAGGCTGAGTGCAAAAAGGATGAAATTTAGAACAACTCAACCGCATAAAAAATATTCTAAAAATCTAGTAGGGACTGCTGGAAACCCCCCCAAAGATTACCTAGTAGAAGCCAAGGATTCAAGAGCATTAGAGAGCTAGGGTTAGAGTCGAGGACAAGCAAAGGAGAAAATCACAAACAGTCAGAGGGTCACAAGAATAGGAGAGGAAAAAAAGGAGGGAAGCACTTGTTGATAGTCCCAGAGACAATGGCCTTGAATAACAATTGATTAGGTCTCCAATTAGCCTTTTTTTCCATTGAGCTAACATAACAGTTACTACTTTTTCAAGCTGAGAGGCTGAGATCTCCAAGGGAATGTGAAACGAAAATTTTTATCCACACAAGTAGACATATTTCCACATTGTTTGTGTATATTATCCAGAGTTGTTGCCCACGAGACACTATTTATTTCACAGATTCCCACCTCTCTGCAGTTTAAAATCATTCATTCCTGTATGTAGTTTTGAAGCAGCTGCAGATAATTACATACTCCAAGTGTCTTCAGGGACACCACCGCATCTTTCTGAATGTGGTTAAATATAAAATATGTGAGGAACCTTATTGAATCTATGACCTAATTTACAAGAGAAAACTGATGAAGTAGAGTAATAGTGTAAAGCACAAAATTAGTTATAAATTTCTATAGGAGGCATTATTTAAATTTCTAACTTAAAAGTCCAGTGTCAAGAAACATACATGAGAACTGGTAGCTTTGAGCAGCTTGTCAGGACCTAGCCTGGCAAGAGAGCTCATATAATATAAAATAACAAAATGTGGCTGTGAAATATTAATACTAAGATGGATAAATGAAAAAAAAACAACACCTTTCTAAGACCAGAACTTAGATAATATGTTAATGCCAGTTTATTTTTAACACTAATATCAAAAACTAAAAAAAAATAAAATAAAATAACATTTTCATTTTCCTTTAGAATGTCTCTTGCAAGCTTTCAAGCATATTACGCAGGTAGTACGGCAAGTTTGTTGACATGTTCTTGGCAAGTTGCTAAAATTTGTTAAGCACACAAAAAAATAAGTAAAAATTTTTTTTTTTTCTAAAAAACCGTCAATTGTTTAAAATATTAAACATGAGTCAGATACTGCACATAATAATCCATACAAACAATATAAAAATGACAGGCATAGAGATGCAGACGTGAAAGAAGATATGAAAATAATAATAATAAAAAAAACTAGAATACTGTGGACTGAGAAGAATTGAGTTCACCGAGTTCTGCAGGATCGGGGCTGTTTGTGTTCAGTTGGCTGGTTGGATGAAACTCCTTTGCACTGTCTGACTTACTTGCTCCATTTTCAGCACAGTTCAAACTTGTTGAATCACTTTGAATTTCACAGCTGGTGACGATTTGCTTTGGCGAGCTCTGCTCGTCACCTGGATCAGAGCTTTGCCATCTGTTAGCACCGTCTGATTCCTCAGTCGCTTGTGGCTTCTTGTTAAACTTGGGCACCTTGCAGTTTTTGTCTGCTTGGCTATAAAGGTTGGCAACAGATCGCTCAATGTCAGCCAGATTCTGGATGTTCTTCAGGATTCCTTTCAGCTCCTTTCGCCCAGTATTGTTTTCTGATGAGGTTAGAGGAGGAGGGTGTTTTCGCTCCGACACTGGACGAAGAGAGGATAAAGGTGGTAGAGAGGTCGGGACAAACTGGATCACTGGTCGTGGCTGGTTGCTAGTAGGTGAGGGAGGAGGAAGTGGTGGGGGAGGCGGGGGAGCGACTGGCTTTCTAAAAGAAGGAGGCGACACGGGATTGGTGTTTTGAGGTTCATCAAAGCGGGGAAAGGAAGGTGGATTGGAGCAAAGAGATGGTGGAGGAGAAGAGGGTGGAGAGGGTGGAGGAGACGTGAGCGGGGATGGTGGTCGCGAATGTCGAGGAGGAGGGGGCGGTGGATTTTCTGGTGGATCTGGTATGATTTCGACAGTGATCTGACAGGGCTGCACTGTCATGTAGCTGGAGATGCTCGAGCTGAACTTTCTCAGAACGGGCGGCATTGGTCTCTTGTTTGATGGGGACCATGAATCATTCTTCTGCGTAATGATGATGCTTGGGGGCACATCTCTGCCGACACTCATGGGGCTGTGAGGGTTATCCATGATGGAGAGCAGAGCTTCTGAGGTCAGCTCCAGCACGTCATCGCTGTCCACATCTCTGATGAGGATGGAAGAAAGGGAGCCAATCGAGTCTCTGTTTTGCTTACGTTCTTGGAAAGCTTGCTGCTCAAACTGCCTGGCCTGCTCACGAACTGACAACTTGGACTCCATGCTGTCACTCAGGTACGGTCTATCCACCCTCTTGAGATTCTGCTGGCCTCTAATGTCTGCTTGGAGAAGTTGCAGCTCCCATTCATTTTGGTCCATAAGACCTTGCCTTCTTGACGCTTCGTAGCCGTGCGGCCCTCCGTGAATGCGAGCAGGCATTGACCAGACACACCCTGACCCGGCTGAATGGGAGGGAGAAAAGGCAAACCAGTTTCCATTTGGATTCTCCTCCCTTGCAAAAAGAACCGGGCTGCTGAGTGGGCTGCTGTCATCATACACAGGGTTGTGGGTGGTGCGTGGATTTCCATCAGAGAGATAAGTTACGCTGCTCTCTGATTTGGGCAAGTTGACAAGGAGTGCTCCGTTGCTGTGGGCTGCAATGGTGCGACAGGTGAGGGTGCTAAAAATCCTCTGATGGTTGGTTTCCTCAGTGGCAGACTTTTTAGCCCTATCCCAGCGGAAGGTGAAGGTGAAAAGAAAAAAAAAAGAACTTAAAAGAGGTGAAAAACAGCGGTAGAGGGGTGAGAATGCAGAGAAGGTTTGAGAAGAATAAAGCAGCAGTGCTATTCAAACTAAGCTCATTAGTATTGTGACAGATTTTAAAAGAATATCATCTTGCTATAAAAGTCCAAGTTCACAAATACAACTAGTCAACCCAACTGGGCTATTGCCATCTGCACCTTCTTCAAAGTTGCCAAGGCAACTTGTCTACCTATGATAACCAAGGCAGTCAAGGTTGGCTGCTTTTCTGTGTAAAGAGGACCTGCTATGCTTCCTTGAACAGGTTAGGATCAATGTCTGGGCTACACAAAACATCTACATTAGAATATTTGCAAAAAAATTATTCTTAGATAATGAGACTTCAGTCTGGTCAGTTCTGTGTATTTTGAACTTCTTTCATAAAGAGCTGTTTTAGGGTTTCTTGTTCCTAGCTGCTGCTAGCCACCACCACCACGCAACTCAATATTTACACTCACAGGGCTACAGACAGATGATCAACTATCTTTAACTGAGTCGAACCTAGAGGCAGAAGAAGTAGACACAACAAACAAGAATGGTAAGTAAACGACAGAAAACTCGTCTTTTCCAGCAGGCATTAAAAACTAGCTAAGATGCTGGAGATCTGCTTGGGTTGCTAGGTGACAGAGCAATGCCTCTTGTTAGTGACTTAACAATTGGGGAGTTTTTGAAATGGCTCATTTTCCAGACATCACGACTGACTAGAAAACTGGAAATATAAAATAGTAGGTGCGCATAGTAGGTCCACTTTGCCCTTCTGACCAACACCAGAAGTCTCCTCTCCAGGGACACAAATAACAAGAGTGGGTGGATGAGGAATCAAACCATTGATACACTGATTGCAGGGTGAACTACTACTACCATTGCCACCATTGCTATGTGAGAAGAATTAATCAATTTTTATTTTGAATCTTGCTTAAACCTTGAAATTTGGTCTTCATGAGGGTTGACCAATATTTTTAAATGGACGTCTGAGGTCTTTATAAAATAGTTGGTTTTACTGGGATTAAAAGACACTCAGGTGAGTTCAATTTAGTAACTAGGGAAGTTCTGAAGTCCATGTTTAAATTTAATAGGGATTTCAGAGTAAAGACCATGTAACACAAATGCAAGGCACACTTTTGCCATCCCATTAAAGTATGATGAAGTTTTTGGCTGTGATGCGACAAAATGTGAAAAATCATGTATGCTTTTGCCCTGTGATTTAGTTTTAGTCTGACGAGGTAAAATCTTCAAAAATATTCAAAATAGAGCACCATCCTTTGGATGGCTTTAAAAAAAAACACGACAATATTAAGACTCAAACACACTGGGTTTTGCTAGAAATAGCTAATGAAGCACAAGTCCATACATTTGCATTTTTAAAATCAGTCACAACACAAGGATATATGGAGAAATATGAATATAAGGAAATTACATAAAACAAAAGAGTGGTCTAATTGGATGGGAGAGAGGATGAATATCTTTAAAAGTGCACTGCTACGTCTAATAAAGCGCATTCTGATTCTCTTGACATACACAAAAAATAAAACACCAAGTCTAAAAAATACCAACACAAAACTGTTGTACTCCTTGAAACTACCACTCCTTCACAAAGCTCATTTAACACTGACGAAGAAAGAATTCAGTGTTAACAGAAGAAGTCCGGTATTAAGGTAACCTCTGCACCAAAACATATTCATACATTTTTCAATATGCATATCTTTAGCTAACGCTATAGGCGACAGTGGAGACGCGGGAGCAGCTGTTAAGTGGTAATTACTCACAATATTCATAAAGCTCACATGGGAGGATTACTTACTGCAGTCTGAATCCAGAGAGACAAGAAATGATGGGAATACAAAAACAGACAGATGGTAAGAAGACTAATACACAAATGTGAGAGGTGTTGATGATGAAACGAGGGTACTGAAAAAAAGATGTGGGAATATAGCACATCTCTGCATAGAGCCTAATAAGTAGTGAGGTTTGTTTGACTTGGACATAAAGGACATATAGACTTTGTTTTTTCTTTTGTTTCTGAAACATATTTGAAATATTGGCTTTTGGCAACCTCTCAAAAGCCTTTCCTTGTTGACTGCAAGTAAACTTCATGTTTTTAAAGACAAACAGTAGCATTACTGCCAGAAATATTTCATTCTACTGCACATGCAAATAGCTACATTCAGCGCACACGTGAACTCAAATCGCAAATATCAAGACTGCATTGTACCCTCATGGCCGTGTTTTATTGTGGGAAATTCAATTTTGCTGATGGCATAGTACTCTGGACACACATGGAAGTTAAGTAAGCAGTTGAAGTACTGTGTGTATTAATCAAAGGAAGGTTTATAGTAATTTATGAACTCAGATACTCTTACCTTGAGAGAGGGTTTTGCAAAAATGCATACACAGTCATATTAGAAATACATACATAAGCTATTTTGTTGTATCGCCAGATGTTCTGTGGCATACGGTGCTGGATGTGTCAAGTTACAGAACTTGGATAAGAAGACAAACGGCACAGGGGTTCAGTGATGCAAAGAGGCATATACTATTATGTCATGGGCAGCAGCAATATTTCTCAGGTTAACATCTAGAATTACCAGCAACGTTATTTAGAAGAATGCACTAATGCTGAGAATCTGAAACTGCAGTTGCAAAAAGGCAGGAAGGAAAAAAGCCAAGACAACAGCAGAAGCATTCATCTCAGAGCAACGCCTCTGATCCAAACCTCAGTGGAGAAAAATCTGCGCAACTAGATAAAGTACCTGCACATCACTGTAGTTAGTGGGATGTGTGGGTACAAGTGACAGACACCAAAGGGACATAACTCACATGCTGCTGTCGCCCAGCTCCTCGTAGAGGTTAGCAGTAGGGGGAGCGGCTGGAGCCGTTTTCCCTCCCGGTGGCAAAGCCATCTGGATCCTGGCAGTTTTGGCACACTCTGCTTGCCGCCTACAGAAAGTGTTTACATCCACACAAAGAATGATAAGCAATTCACGTTGCAATGCAGAACAGAAAGACACAACCTGGAACAATGAAAACACAGGAATCTTTTACCTTCTTTATATTTGTCTTATTTAAGATAAGATTTCTGTAAGTTCCAGTCAGTTAATGTGGACCTTTGTCATTCATTGTACTGATTTAATGTTAAGATTTATGTGAATTGCAGAGAACTAATTTTATATTTATAACTTCTCAAAGAGAGAGAAAAAAAATCAGCACAGTTGCCAAGCTAAGAATTTTTCCTATGTTGCACTGAAGAACTACCCAATGAGCCGACTTCTCTCAAGCAGCAGTTATATTAGTTGCACACATCTGATTGAAAGAAATATATATTCTACAAACAGCATATTTAAAATCCTGTGCTACAGTTGTCAAACACTATCTTAATAATTATCACAGGATAAAAATTTAACTTGCGGGGGGGAACAACATTATGAATCATAACTTGGGTTCAAATCTTTGACATATGTGAGGCATCCCTGAACTCTCTAAAGTCTCACATTACTTAATCTTATTTCTTTTTGAAGAATTTGCTAAACTGTTACTTCTATATCTCAAAAGCTACACATTTAAAATCACCAGAACTTTTATAAATCAAATGCGGTTTTGGTGAATCAGTGATGTTACAGAAACCTTAATAGACCCATTTGTTGCTCAGCTGCCAGAAGTTGATATGCATTTTCGAGATCCACTCCCCCCCGCCCCCCATCAGGAATAATGCATGTTATTGACAGGTTTTAAGGCCTATGGTTGTATTAAGAGAGATTTCTGGAATGCCTAGTGTGACAACTAATTATCATTTTCTTTTAAGTCAATGCAAAGCTTGCTTTGAAATTAAAATTCTTTGCACTGAATTTTAGTAAAGACACTGACTCAAGCATATATTGAGAAGAATAAGTGCATATTTTCTTTACTTATATCTGGAAAAATACCACAGTATCATAGTTTTTTTTTTTTTTTCCCCTCATATGACTTTAACTTCCGATTTGTTTTCCCAGAAGCTACGGCGTTTCTATTTTCTCACTTTCAGATACATTCATATGTTGAACCTAAATAGGTTCGACAGCCCTTTCACTTTTTTCCAGAGCATTTATTTTGTCACAAGAAAAAATATTGCTAAGTGGAACTTTCCGTCTGAGAACACAACAATAGATACAATGTTAGAATGCTTTAAATCATAAAGAAGCAGTGATGATGAATCTTTTGGGTGGAAAATCTCCATATTCATGACTGCTGTGTGTGCTTTTTAGAAGCAATTTTTTATTTTATTTTAAAAGAACGAAAGAGAAAAACATTACAGTACACGCAGTTAAGCATAAATGATATGTCATATCAACAGTTTCCAACAGAACAATCACGTGTATTGGCTTTGGGTTCATTTTTCATTTGAATTTTATCGGATTTTCTGCATGAGAAGAACTGTTCTGCCAAATTACCCATCCAGCCTGTGATCCACAAGTTGAGTCAGTGTTGCTTCATGTCGTCATGTCAGCAACATTACAGAAAGGTGGCATTAATGGGCAAACCTTTTTTCTTTTTTTTTTTTTTTTAATGTGACACAGTTGCAATATTTGGTCTAGCTTAAAAAAATGAAGATGAATGGAGAAAGATGAAACCTAAATTTCTATGACACACTGAAAAGTGAAATTAAAAATATTACTTACTCTTTGAATCTGATGAAAGTTTCCAAGCAGCGGAGAAAAAGAGATGAATTAAGACAAAAAGACAAGTTAGATAGAATTTTATACTTTTGAATCACAAATAAAATCACGTTGAACCTATGTGGGTAATGTCTTCATAGGTATTTTTTTAACATGTTAAGTAGTTTTTTGCTTAAAAAAAAAAAAAAAAGCAATAAAGACCAACAATTAAAGGAAAAAAAAAAGGCCCAAATTGATGTAAGCCATTAGCCCTGCTTGAATGACTGCAGGGCTCCCAGCTAACGCTCATTTGTGAAGTGAATCTTGTATGCTTCATATTGCTTATTAAAAACAAAATTCAATTATTCCGCACGAGTAAGCAAATTGATGTCGTAAATATTATAGTGATTTCTAGATTTATGCAGCATCGAATTGTGTTGACAAAACATCAATGAGAAAATTACATTGTAATGTCATCACCTACAAAGTGCCATCTGCCATGACAGTTTGCATTTCATCTCTAAAGTCGCCATCAACAGCTTTCGGTTGTGTTTGGTGCATTCATTCGGATGTGGACAACCAATCCACCCATCTGCCGTGAACAAACATTTGCCACACATAACCTTTTGAAGCACATCAACTTCTACAAAGAGAAGGAATGTCGCGCTTGCAGACATTACAGCACGTCTACTTCACCGATGTGGATGCCGTTTCAAAAAAAAAATAAATAAAATAAAAAGACAAAACTCTTGCATATTGCAGCACAGCCTGGAAAATAAGGGGCGCAATGCCCGTTGTGTGTGTGCGTCGGCTGGAGTTGATTAAGTAGAGCAAAGATGCGCTACGACACTAACAATTGGCTGTAGATGTTTGTCGCAAATGAGTGCTAATTAATCAGCTTTCACAGAGCATGAGCAGGAGATTAGCCCAGCAGAGTGCGCAGTCAGCATGTTTGATGAAAGATACATAATCAGAGAGAGAAAGCAAGAGAGCTAGAGGTGGCATTGAAGCGAGAGGTGCTTCCCCTTTATCATCAACACTTCACAAGTACTCTTTTCAATGAATTTGTTTGTGTTTATTCCTGGCTTTCCCTCAACAGCCTACAGGGTGTAGGATGTTAAAAGCACATTGAAACATCAATTATAAATATCTGACTTGTCTACACAAGGCAAACCCTTTGGCGAAAACTGCAAAATGGCATCTCCCAAGATAGTTAACAATCTTCGCTGTTAGAAATTTCCTTGCGAAATTCCTTCAAGAAAGACTGCTAAAAGTTTGTCTATTAATTTCACAAAATCAAGAACTGTGGCTGACGAATGGGCACTGACTGTTTGTAGGTGACCATGACGATGAGGATGGCAGGAATGCAGCAGAGGATGATGATGATGGCCAGGGCCAGAAGCGCTCCCTCTGTGTAGCCCACAGCTTGAGCGGCCTTCTTCACACTGGCCACAATGTCTGGCGAGCGGATCTCCAGGATGCGGCCACCCTCGCCCACATGTGGCTGGACCTCTTTGTTGATCTCCAAGACATTGCCATCAAGAAACCTGGAGACAGAGAAATCATGACAGGGAAAACAGGATTATTTATTGCACTCAACTAAATAAACAGCATTTCTTTGTGTATTCAAGTCTAATACACAAAGATAATGCTGTTTTATTTATTTGCTCTTCACACAGTTGTTAACATAAGAGTCTTACACATTTGGTTTTAAACCCACTTTTAAAATTTCTAGTTGGCAGATGTCAGCACATAGCAGACTAACCACACAATAATTGTTTTAATTAATGGAGAAGAGTCAAGTTAAATGAAAGGATAGCTCTTTGAAGAAAGTATACTTTTTTTTTTGACTGCACAAGGGTTCCACACAAAATCCTAACAGGCAGTGCCTTGCTATTTTTGTTTTACAATCACATTTTGTAAAAGGAATACAATTATCCATCTATTTATTGTCTATACCAGATTGTCCTTGTGGAGTTTCAGGTGGGCAGGTGCCCATCTTCAGCGGTTCTTAAGCGAGAGATGGGTTACACCCCAGACAGCTGGTCAGTCCCTCACAGGGAGTGCAACCAAATTACACACAATATTCTGTTAAATTAGGCTGTCACTATAGAGAGCTAGACCAGCAGGTGCTGGACTTTTCACACATTCGTCATGTTTTAATTCAGCATTTCTGGTTGGATCCAAGAAAGAACCCTCCATCATATAACATTTTATTCCTCCCTTAGAGATGCTTTTGTCAGGCTGTGGAAAGATTGAAGAGATCTAGATCTGATCTCACTCATCACAGGAAGATGTCTGACAGTAAAGCAGCTCTGTTTTAATCTTTTGAGCTTTCAGCACGTTTGTATTGGAACACAGTGTATTGGAGATGTTGGCAGCCTCTGGAAATCTTTGACCTAAGAGAAGAACCTGCAGGTTCTAGAAAATAGCCACAGAAAAGGATCTTTACAGTAATCCAAGTAAAAAAAAAAAAAAAAAAAAAAAAAAAAAAAAAAATTTTAAAATCTTTTTGCTTTTTTTTTAAACAATTAAAACCTTTT